TTGAAATAATACCTTAAAAGATAAAATTATGAATATTTTTAAGAAATATTTATAAATTACATCACAACAAGTATATTTATATATTAAATATATCTAAAAAATTTATATATGTAATGTCGGGTTTGTTTGGTTTCGGTTTGACTTTCTTTAGTTAAAACCAAACCAAACCAATTATGGTCGGGTTTTTTTTTCCAACACCAAACCAAATCAAACCAAACCATAGTCGTTTTTTTTCTCGGTTTGACTCGGATTATCGGGTTGGTGCGATTTGTCGGTTTCCTTTGTACACCCCTAGGTGTGATTGAGGAATGTGGTGGTGGGTGGTGGTAGTTTATAATGATGGACAGTACCAGCTATGGTTGTTAATATTGATGGGGGTGGTTAGTTGTGGTAGTTGAAGTGGATGAGTATTGGTTAATATTGATGGGGGTGGTTAGTTGTGGTAGTTGAAGTGGATGAGTATTGGTTGTGATTGAGAATTATGATGCTGGGAGTGGTGGGGATGGTGGGGGGTGGTAGTCGATAATGGGGACGGCTATGATTCATGAGGATGGTGGTTGAGACGTTGAGTATGGTCGTGGTGGTGGCGGTGGTTGAGACGTTGAGTATGGTGGTGGTGGCGGCGGCGACATGGTGATAATTGATAATGGTAGGCGGTGGCGGCAGTTAATTATGAATATGAATAATAACATCTTAATGAAATTAAGCCTCTGTTATAGATCTTAATTATACATGCCTATTCATACTCATTAAATAACTGTGAAGTAAAAAAATATACATAATAATTAAGATTTACACTTCAAAAACAAATGTATTTAATGTCTGAGATCTAAATGATTAAGATTTAAATATTCATTAAGTGCAAACAAGTGAGGCAGTGACTATAGCATTTGGCTTTTGACTTTGAGGCCCTCTTTTATCACTCAAAAGATGAAAGCGATATTATTTTCCTAAATCCAAATGTTAAGGGATCGTTAAGTGAAATTTACTCTTTTTTACTACTATATATAAGAGAGTATTTATGTTTATCCAAAATTTAACCGAGGAAGTTTCATACAAAACATATACTCCTTAGATGTTACGTTTGAGGAATTGTTGTCCTTTTACAACAATGCTAATGAAATATTAAGTTGTCCAAATAACAAATTCTAATAATTGTTGTCCTTATGCAATAATACTAATAAAATAATAAGTTGTCCAAATAACAAATTCTAATAATTGTTGTCCTTCTACAACAACACTATAATAAAATAATAAGTTGTCCAAATAACAAATTCCATTTGATTGGGGCATTTGCATCTATACCTGTTTTTTGTGTCACGTTTTAACTTGTACTCGCTTTGGAAAAAAAATTACAAGTGTACCCGCTTTTTCGCATAACTTCAGCATACGGGGCTGAAGTAGCAAAGGCAATTACGCAAAACTTCAGCATTCTAGTAGCCGGGCCTGAAGTTCAGCTCTAGAGCTGAAGTTTTTATTTTGTAACTGTCGAATTTCAGCTCTAGAGCTGAAGTTTTTGTTTGTAAGCTTCAGCTCTAGAGCTGAAGTTTTTGTGTTGTAACCGGGAAACTTCAGCTCTAGAGCTGAAGTTTTTGTGTTGTAACTGGGAAACTTCAGCTCTAGAGCTGAAGTTTTTGTATTGTAACTGGGAAACTTCAGCTCTAGAGCTGAAGTCTTAGGCAATCACTATTGTTTTTAGTGTTTCACGGTTGATCAACTAGAAAGAAAAGAGAACTAAATAACTTCAAATCTAGAGCTGAAGGTTTTGTTTTGTAACTGCCGAACTTCAGCTCTAGAGCTGAAGTTATTTAGTTCTCTTTTCTTTCTAGTGCTTGTGTGTTCCAGTTCTTTTCTTTCTTCTTCAGCTTCTGCTTTTTTGTCTTTCATTTTGTAATTTTAAACTCCATCTATTTCTTGCTTACTGAATTATTAATACTCTTGAATTCAAATTTTATTTTAAACAAGTTCCCTTCTAAACCTACCTGATAAAGATAAAGAACTATCAATATACAAGCGTATTCAGCATAAATTCTTATTATGAGTAGAACAACAACTTCAAAGGTATTATATTACAGAATACAGATGTACATTTAAAGTAAACATAAATTGTTTCAATGTGTGCTGAGCACCAAAAATAAATACGTACTACATAAAAGGTAAAAGTTAGAAGGAGGAGGAGAAAGGGGAAGGGGGAGGAGAAAGGGAGCTGAAATTATTTAAAAAGTGGGTACAAGTTAAAAGATTTTAAACAAATGAGTATAGGTTAAATGGGGGCGACCAAATAAGGCGCCCCGCGCAATTTTTACCATTTGATTCGATTAAAAAATACGTCTCCTTATTAGGAATATTGTTCAACTGGCTCTCTATATATAATACTCCTTCTGTTCCAGTTTATGTGAACCTATTTCCTTTTTGGTCCGTTCCAAAAAGAATGAACCCTTTCTAAATTTGGTAACAATTTAGCTTAAAGTTACAACTCTACCCTTAATGAGAAGCTTTTATAGGGCGAACGGCACAAATAGCCACTAAAAGCTGTGGCTTTTATTTTAAAGCCACTGTTTTCAATGTATTTAGACTTTAGCCACTCCTTTTAAAAAACTTATACCTGACTGGACGAAAATACCCTTCTGGTATAACTTATACCTACGATATCAACACAAGCAGCAGTTACACAAAGAGAAGAAGCGAGCAACAGCAACAGCGGCGATCAACTGAGGACGAACCACCATTTCTCTTCCCGATTTAAAAAATTCAGCAATCTAATCCAAAAAAACAACATAGATAAACAGTAAGTTGTAATTTCATGTGTTTCTATCAATTTTTATTTCGCTATAATTATACTTTTTTAGATCTGTATTGATTTGATTATATATTAGATAAGAATTTGATTTTTTTTTGAATTTCTCGATTGATAAATTTATAGACACCGCCTCATATGATAATTCTGTATTCCGGACATAGTGTCTTCATTTTGGAAATTGAATTCAAAAAAATAAGAACACTTTGTCCTTAACTTTGATTCTACTGGCCTCATTTTGCAAATTGAATAAAAAAACTTAAGGACAAAATGTCCTTCACTTTGTTGTTGTTCTTCTGTATACAAAGTCCTGTAGCTTGAGTTTCAAATTGTATGTTTTAATTTCTGGTTCAAATGTTAAGGACTGACAGTCCTTAACTCTTAAATACATGTTTAAATGTTAAGGACTAGCAGTCCTTAACTTTTAATTCCATGTTTAAATGTTAAAGGACAGACAGTCCTTAGCTTTTAATTTCTGGTTCAAAAGTTAAGGACTAGCAATCCTTAAGTTTTAATTCCATGTTTAAATGTTAAGGACTGACAGTCCTTAACTTTAATTACATGTTTAAATATTAAAGGATAGACAGTCCTTAGCTTTTCATTTCTTGTTCAAAAGTTAAGGACTGATAGTCCTTAACTTTTAATTCCATGTGTAAATGTTAAAGGACAGACAATCCTTAGCTTTTAATTTCTGGTTCAAAAGTTAAGGACT